ATCAGGGTTTATTATACACTATATACAGGGAAACTTTCAAAGCATTTACTCATTTGTGTCCCGAATTAGAAGTGGGGATACTTTCGCATCCTACTGTATATTTCAAGAGCGATTCGCATTCTATAATATAATATGTATTTAGCTCATGCAGTCAAACGTTATTCCCTACCAGATTTGGTAACGTTTCGAGTTACTAAATTTGGTGGGGGAGATAGCTTAGCACTCGGGAGGTAAATTACCTCACCCAATCTATTGCCAAAGTTGGCAAATATCTGCTATTAAGATTAAACATTTGATGTCACTGGGGTATCAGGGCTAAAGATTTTGTTTTTGCTTATAACTTAAATGATTTAATGGAATGAATTCTTTGATAAATCTCATAAGTTATTCTTTCTTTATCTAAATAATTTTGGTATCAGCTATTTTGAAGACAACCATAAACAAGGATTCCATAACGTCAGTCTTTTATTTTTAAATACAGAAAGGTACATAAATATATATATTCTGAATTAACAAAATATTACATAAAAAGAAACCAAATCGAGATAAAACTACACTACCTGGACAAAAGCATCGGACACCTAATTTTATTAATTGCTCTAAAGTGTATATAATAACTGAAGCTAAACTTTCTATATGTTATAGTCTAACTTCTTATGAAACACGGATATAATTTTTACGCGTTTTTTATATTTATTTCCTTTGTAAACAATATAATAAACGGGATTGGTGTTTAATCTTTAACTTGAAAATATCTGACTTGACCGAAGCTGAACGTGGCCAAATTATCAGACTTTTTAAAAGTGGTGCTACAAAATGAGTATATCTTAAACTCTTGGCTTCCCTAGAGCAACAGTAATATGAGTTCCCTCGTTGCTAATAAGCAGATTGGTCTCTGCGCTATCCAGCTCGTGTTGCTCCAAGTCCCATAAGAAAGCACGTTTGTCCACTCGTCTGAGAAATTCTCGCGCATTAATCTCGTAACACCATGCGTCATCAGTGTTGTTTTGCCACGTCCAGAACCACCGGGTGCGTGTGCCCACGCTTACCAATCTCGTCTGCCTTTTGGATGTTTATCTCTTCGTTTTCCCTACTCTTTCCATATATTCATGAATAGTTCGCAACAATAACGTAACGTTAACCAACAGAATATTCGCACTTACCGCCATTATCATCATTGCTACAGAATACATAGGCAGAGGCAGACTCGATAAGTCGGTTTTGGCCTAACTCGGTCAAAAATTTTCAGCCCTTTTTTTCAATATTTAAAATCTCTCGATAAGTCGACATATGTAAAGTCGCGATAAGCTGTAAGTCGGTTAACCTTCTTTAATGCTATATTGATATGTAAATTTGTTTTGTAACTTTTGTTTTTTAATTTTTTATTCTTTTTATTCGGCGTTATGAGGTCGTCGGTCGTTTTTGTCGCGCCCTCGATAAGTCGGTCTCACGTGATATTCGGAGAACATCATTACTATTTCAGTGCAGTCGATCATATAAATTTTTTGCAGAATGTGACTGAAGATGTAATATATAGGTGCTGGGAGAGAACTGATATTTTGCCTGACGAGTCGGAAGTTATTAACTATGACCACCAGATAATGACATTGAAATCATACAATCGCGTCATGAGAGGAAAAGACTGCATTGAAATTGACAGTACTTTTGAAACAAAAATCCACGTATATCCCTCAAAGACATATCGCCACTCTTTTCATGATATTGCTGCATAGCCTTCACGCCCCGTAACGATGCAAGTTTAATATTAACGGCATCCAACAACGGACTAGTTGTTTCACAATAAGAAATGTTTAGATATTCCCAATTTGTGACTGACTGCATTGATTTGGATATGAAAACAATGTCAGGAAGCATGCATAATCCGGCTGGTGCTAAAATGCTTCAAACAGAACTCGAACGTTGTACGTATTTTATTGAGGGACGAAACTCGTTACCAATTTCATAAAACATTAGTCTCAAGATTTACTTTTTAATAAACAATGTATCACATTTATTACATTATTCGGCATCTTCTTAACTCAACCATATTGACATACGTAGAAGCACATCGTATAATTCGAACCTTTGAATATAACTCCGGTTGAATTACAAATTTATTCAAAAAAGAGTTTGAGTATCTAAATTATAAGAAATGCACGGTGTTAATATTGTAAATTGACTTTATTCGTATCCACGTGTAATCATACCTGCAGCTGAATCCATATTATAACTATTTCTTGGTTTAATATTAGGCAGATCTCTGGTAGGTAAGAGCATGCTAGAATATTTACTCTCCTTTTCGAGACGTGATAAGGGTTTTACATCATTATGACAGATGATATTCCATGCGTTGCTGACAGAATTGTCGTTTTTCACCTCATTAAGAAGCTTGTCAATATCATCCCAAAGAAGTGTCTCTGCATCTGGACGCTTATCAGGATCGGCATCACAACACCGCTCGGCAAGTTTCTTGTATTCCTCTGGTGCGGAATCAGGCATCGATGGTCG